TATAGTCACACTGAAACGGTAAATATCTCCGAAAATTTCCTTCTATTTCCATCATTTCAACCCATTTTTTACCTATACTCCCACTACTTCCTTTTCTAGGGGGTATATACGCCCGCTGAAACGGCAAATTTTTATCCTGCGCGCCCTCCACTCGCCCAGCCTACTACCCACGAAATCTTAGTTTCACCTCAATCCCACACGTGATTTCGAGCGACTAAAGTGGGTACGACCCCCCCCCTACAAACTCAACCAGGTACGACCCCCCCGTTGGTACTTGTACCAACGTAGGGTTGACCCTGCTTCCGTGTACCCCAGTATAATGTATGCTATACGAAGCAAATCCTACGGCAGTTCTAGCTACATCCGTGCTGCGCACTCTTCTCTTATGTCGCGCTGTCTGGAGTTGAGAACGCAAAGTATGGCTGGTCCATGACGCAACCCTGTCTCCACCAACCACAGGAGAGGATCAGCGGCAGGGGACGCATACCCCTGGGGCCGTATGCTGAATGTTGGGTAGGGGACGGGGATGGGTAAATGTTGGGGAGGTTCGTCGCAGGACCCACTGGGCAACGGTCGCACCTTTGATTTTGCAGCTTTGTTTCCATCCTTTTACTGTTTCTGATTGTATATTCGCACGTATACCTTTCTTTATACCAAAAGCAGGTAAGTTTACGGACTACTTGATTTTTCCTCAATGGTCCTGCCGCGATGGCTAGAGCACAGACGATTAGAGAATGCCCTAGGACTAAGCCTTGAGAGGAGAGGGATATTCAGCCACAAATAATCCCACAGATCTCGTCGTTGGACGAATGCTTGTCAATGTTCTCTTTTTGAAAGCCATTTTAGTGTTTTTACCTATTTCCAAAATCGCTTCCCTGTTTCTTTTGCTTCTCTTCACACTTGTAATCGATGACAAGTGATGAAGACGTCTGTCACCGGGCGATCCTCCCATCTATTAGTCACAACCGTACATCAGCACTTCCTGTGTGCCTTGGTCAGAACCTCTGAATCATTTACAAGATTGAGACTGCGCGAAATTTATCCTGGTTTGAGAATATTATATTTTTGCACACTCACATTTACAAATCAATTCCGTTAATCCATCACGTTGAATGGCCATTGCATGTCTTCGTTGTGGGACTAGTTCTGTTTTTATAATCAGTTTAGTTTGTTACGCGTGATAACTGCTCTAGTAGGGTGTGGTTCGCTAGGACAGAAGCGACTTTTCGCGTTTCGCAGCGCGAAACATTTTTCGCTGCGGGAACCTCGGGTCCACTGATGATCAGCGGTGGACCTGAGGTTCCCGCAGCGAAAATGTTTCGCGCTGCGAAACGCGAAAAAGTCGCTTTCTGTCCTAGTGAACCACACCCCATTCTAGTACTTGGGTTCCTGGATAATTTCATAGCTACGATTTCTACGAAAACTGCATCATTGATTTGATCGGTGTATATTGCATTGAGCGTAATTTCCTATTCCCCACCATCACCTTAAACTCCACACAACACTCATCGTTTCTGGTGTATGAGAGACAGTAAAAAGCGATAGATTCTGCTTTTGTTTGCAGCTATACGAAAAAAATTTGGGCGCAATGTGGCTCGGGGGGGCACTCTGAGAAAAGTCATCTAGGACTAAGCCTAAACAGCAGGGACGAACTCCGGAGAATACGAAAATTGCTTCCGTACACCGGAGTTCCTCTCCTCTTCAAAAGCTTAGTCCTAAAACGAGAGCGTTTCCGTGATTTTGACGCGATGTTGCGAGGTGCCCCCCGAGCCACATTGCGCCATAATTTTTATGATACAGAGCCATCACGAATATTTGTTACACCTCAAATCTCGAAGTCTGATTGGGCGTGTCACCGGAAATGACGTGGCAGCCACCGCACTTGATAGAAATTGCGCGGATAAGCTGCTTCCAGCATGCTTCGCTGATATCTGGCGGAGTATCTTATCCACGTGGCATCTAGCAAGTGCGATGGCTGCCACGTCATTTCCGGTGACACGCCCAATCAGAGTTTCGAGATACCGACTGTATTTTGTCTTTTACTACTTACACTAGGACATGTAATGATTGAAGCAATACGATGAACCGATGCAGCACCAACCACCTTTTCTGCTGCGTGTATGTTTTCCAACCTACTACTAAAAGAACAGAAGGAAGAGCAGTATTATATTAATGGCCTATTGATATTCTTTCCAAAACCGACATATTTATGATAGTGGAAGGATAGATCGACTTATTTTTGTCGTCGTGGTCGAATGTGCCTATATGGGATAGCTGGCTTTCTTTGTGTTGGTGTTTTTGACTTCTTTCTATATTTTGGATCGATTTTTTTTGCACAGCGATTGTGACGATGCCCGCATGCCATAATTGCACTTTCCTTCTTACTCAACACTTCACAAGATGTAGTTCTTTTGTTTGCGTAGGTCTTGATTTCGGTATTTTCTTGGTTTCCCCAGCTATTGAACGGAGCAATTTAATTGGTTGATTTACAGGTGGTGGTTGTTAGTCTTTCTAAGTATTGTGCAGTGTCGTGTTTGGTTGACGTGTGTGATTTTGTTCTTTTGGAAGTTATTTCACGGCTGCTTATCGTTTTTCCGCTCAAAATCTAATTTCAGTACTGTTCCAAAGGAAATCGTACCGGCCGAGTGGGTCATTGAGAACGAGGTCGTTGATCCAATGTAAGTTCGAATTTTCTACTGGTATTCTCTTTTCTTTGACCTTGAATTTGTTCTCTGTTTGCTCGCAGTTCCTTTAGTGAGTGCAAATAGATGAATCGCACTGGATTGCGTGGTTTTTTCGACGAATTCTCTCGAGTTCTTAGTCGCTGTAGCAAAGTTTATTTGTTTGGTATTTTTGTTAATGTCATTGGACGTAAGCGGCATTATTTTGCTTGCTCTCCTGTGTTTTCATCAATTAATTCATGATATCGTGGTGCTGGCATACTTTGCGAACCTTAGGCTGCGTTCATAGTTCGCGACTCCGGAGATTAGGATAGTACGCGACAGGATAAAGATAGTAGTAGAGTAGGAGATTAGGATAGTAGTAGATTAGGATAGTGCGCTGACAAGATTAGATATGTATTGATCTATTCGCTTGAAGTCGCCCAATCTACTACTCTCCAGCGATTTCAATCGATACGTATCCAATCTTGTCAGCGCAATCTCCTACTCTACTACTATCCTAATATCCTGTCGCCTACTATCCTAATCTCCGAGTCGCGAACTATGAACGCAGCCTGTTTCGTATGAAATTGGCCGTTAGCGACCTCTTAAAAGTGGCTTCCTTAAATACTTGTTCTTAGTAACTGATCTATGTAAGATGTTTAATTTAAAAAAAGCCAGATGGAAGTTCTACTTAATAATATTTTTACTTTCATCTCGGGGTATTGGCATCTTTTCGGATTGCAGGTTGAGGGTACTTGTTGACAGCTGGCTGTATATGTAGGTGGAAACTTCGTCGTAGACTCATAAAAATAGCAGTCGATTTTGATTGCGGTGTTGTTGCTTGCTTCCCAACGGAAACAAGTGTGATTTGACACCAGCTGAGACAATGAGTTCCACACCCATTTCTCCTCAAGCTTCCATTTTTTCTCATGCTTTCTTCACGGGGCGTAGTTCCAATTCATGGAGGCTAGCTGCATTTTTTCGGATTGGGCCGACAAGTGTGGGCGAGTGGGCCCACATAGGTGTGGGCCCGCTCAATATACGTTACATTCGGGTAATACAGCTCACTCATTTTTTGTTTGATTTTCCTCACCATCTCTGTCGCTTATGTTCGTATCATTAGAAAAAAAAAACAATGTTTGCACAAGGCATATCCAATCTGTAGTGAATTCTCCAGCCGGGTGGCTCGAATTTGTTAGTTCTTCGAATAGAGTTTTGAAAAGAATCTTCAGGACTTTGGCATTTCTTGACACAATAGACCATATACCATGAACTCAAATTAAGCAAACAGCATAAGCTCAAAGCAAACAGTACAGAAGTTTTATGCGCGCAGTTTTTACTGCTATTGAATATTCCCTACGATTTTATGTTACTTCAATTTTCCTTGATTTGAAAGGAGAGATCTTTAGCGAACACAACGATTGAGAAAGCATCTATTAAGATCTGTAGTATGTTGTTGTACCTTGGCGGTACCAACTTGTCCTCTCCCTCTCCCCTCCGGACACAGGAACCGCTTCATAACAAATAAATGAAGCGGACCCTGCTCCTCACGACACTTTTTCTGTATAAGAAGGAGTATTTTCATTATTAAGTTTTCACACGTAGCCCATTTATCAAAAGTTTATATATTGGTTACTAGGAAGTGTCACCGATATCCCAAAGATAGCAGGCAATTGTATAGGTGGATGGCAGAGTCTCGAGTCGCGATCGCAGCTATCGCTGATTTTCGCATTTGCGCGATTCACGCGATTTTGACGCGACGATTGCGCAAAAATTGCAATGTGTGTGAAATTGGGAAATTGATAGTGAACAAGTGGAATCATGTGAGATTCATAGTCGGCATCACTATGCAAGCAGAAAGTTGCAAAGGCAGGATTGAGAGCAACACCTTGTCTATATTGATCTGGGACTTGTGATTCCGTGACCGGGCGCGTGGACAATTCGCGAAATCGCGAAATCAGAAGAAATTTGGACGGATCGCGGACTTGCACAGCCTTAGTTTTGCAAAGCAGTCGAGGTGAGATGAAGACGGCTGCTCGGTATGTAGAGATTCAAAGTTCTAAACCATAAAGTACGCTCCACAAGGCAACGATCGGTGTAAGTTATTTCCAAACAAGCATTTCAAATATTGGGTTGGAACTATACGATATGGGACGTCGAGCGCTCGCTTTTTTTCAACAGATTGAAGAGAAAATAAAAACATAAGATTGGCATCAGTATTTTACTTCTGTTGGTATGGCTTCGATTGGCATTCGCAGGAAGGATGCACCGGGTTTCAGAGTGTTCAAAAGATATTTGGCTGTTTTTGAGCAGGTCCTCATTATCATCAATTTGTAAGACATGGATATGGTTTAATTTGAGCGGAAAAGGTAGGATCGGATAGAGCAAGGTATGGTAAGGACAATGGCTTCCAAAGAGGTTCCGTTATGCGTTTTCTTCATGCAAACCGAAAAATAGCAGTTTGTCGAAATTCCGATTTCTGTCATCTGGATTTTCTAACTTCTTAGGTGCTGTATCTGAGTGTAACTATAATTTTGAGGAAAACTAGAAATACCTTTCTGTGGAACAGAAGAAGTTCTTTCAAACGATTTGCGCATTATCTAGGTGATACTTATATTAACTGAATTTATACGCTCTGAAAAACGCTATGATATTATGTTCCACCCCAATACATATGCGTAGACGGAAATGGTGTAGTGGCAAAGGGCAAGCCGAAGTAAACAAAAAGCTGGCGATCAAGTTCCAAATTGTTCGCCGTTTAAACTCACAAAGCCCTCCCTCCTTCCGGTGTCTGTGAATTTGTGCCAGACTAGGATAAATAGATTTTATACATGCTAATCGCATTCAAAGTGCCACTGCTATATTGAACGGAAGTTAAATGGGTGGCTCCCCTCCCACAAAAAAAGGGTTGATCAGCGCCGTGTGGTGTGTACTCCGTTTTATTCTGTCATAACGGGCATTTTTCTTTTCTATGGCCTCTGTCATGTACAAGGACAAAAAATCCTTTATCGTCTTCATGGAGGTGGAATAAATCTGGCACTAAACCTGTCGCCCATTACTCATACACTCTTAGATATCGAGTCAGTCCGGCTTGCTTATCCATCTGCATAACTTGTTTTCTCTTATCTGCTTCCTGCACAGAGCATACTCTACTAGATATTCCTGTATTTGAAAAATAGAAAAGGAGCTGCAGTTACTTTTACAGGGTATCTAAAATTTCAGAGGCGCGGAGTTCTGGTACTGCGAGTACACCATCGTTTGAATTTTTTGTTGTTCGTTTCGTTATGTGGCCCTTTTCAGAACCCCAGTAGGCAAGTTTCATCAGCTGAGCTCCTTAACTCCTGCAGATAACTGTTGGTTCTGAGGAAAGCTTATAGCCTTGTCCTGATCCATAGTCTCTGAAGTCTCTATAGTCCTGATAGCCACAGATTGAGATTACGGCCAGTCGCTGTAAAAATGATCAACATGACGTAGCAAACCTACAACACCTGTCTGTGCTTGATTAATTAGTTTCCGAGGCAGCTGTACTTGATTGTGGTCTACGAGTCTTTCATTGAAGGATGGCCACGTCATACGTAACGGAATCGTTAATGGGACCGACTAGTGCACGTGGTTCATCATACACCTACACTTACGAATCACATTACGATAATCCTCCGGAAATCGAAGATGAGGAGGACCGGTACGCTGCTGTCGAAGAAGGCACAACTCATCAGACACATAAGGTTAATAGCCTTCCATTTTTATTACGCATTGCGTCTTTCTGGTTCACATTTTTTTATATACCACGGTTCCGTTTATTAAATTTATTTGTAGTTATCAATTATTTTTTATGGAACTATTGATAGGATTATTTGTGTTAGATACGTGAGCACAGGTTTTGCGACCATCGCTCTTCTTACAGAATTTATTCGCCTAGTCTTCTAGTGGCGCTAAAAAAAAAAAAATTAGCCGAGCTCCTTTTTTAGGCGACTAGTCGTGCCTAGCTTTTTCTTAGGACTGGTAGAAGGTCGCAATCTTCTCACAATTAATAAACATGTTTCCATACAATGGAGATCGTCACGTGCTGATATTCAGAACAAGGCAAGGGGTGAAGATAATTTAGCGTAAAAATCGTTTACCGAGGGATGGGACCGATCTTAAGAAAGCGTGGTATTCTGCAAACAGAATAATTCAACATAAAATTCAAAAGGTAAGGATAGTAAGGCGTTGTGAGATTTGCGAGTCGAGCGACTCGTCCGAGTCGCGTTTTTTTTTTTTTTTTTTTCCCGTCCTCCCCTCTCCCCCTCCTTTACTGTAGGACGGCATAGGTAGGATGCACTTGCTGTTTAACAATGTTTGTTGTGTTGAATTGTATGTGCAATGTTTTTCAGTTGATCTGAAGAAGGGCTTATGCCCGAAACGTTATCAGTAAAGTTTTATAGAAAAAGAGTCTTCAATTCACACATATCTGCATCATCGTTTATGATTCTACCAGGGATCGTGGCGATTCAACTGGACGTTGACGCGGGACGCTAGGCGACATCGATCGATTTCGCATTTGACATCGGCTTAAAATGAATTATGCATTTCTATTTAATCTAAACTTCATCATGGTGTGACTTGCGGAAAGCTCTGAACTGGCGGAGAAGTTATAACCAATAGCCACTCGCTATGGCTTCAGTCCTTAGTTTTCTGTATGATTCTGTGAGCTGTCATTTGTCAGCGTATCGGAAGGCACTACGTTGCAATTTATTTGTTATTATTTTTCTCTTATAGTTTATACATATTAGTACGGTACAGTACTTCTATTGTTTTGTTGTTAAAATAATTTAAAAACAGTTGATGTGGTAGGGAAAAATCTTTTTTTTGTGATAATGAAAAAGACGGTTGTATTCAGGTCACAAGAGTGACGAAGGTCACGACTACACGATCGGTGCGTCAGATACCCGTTGAAAGCCCTTTTCTGATATTTACTTCGACGCATCAGGACTTCCTACTCCATCTCCTGTTGTGGAGCTGGGAGCACCTATAGAAGATCTCGGAATTAGGTGCGTATTTCTGCAAATCTTTGCAGTTTGCTGAAAACACATATGCATATTTCACTCCAGAGTTAAAAAAAAATGAGGAAGAAAGCCGTTCAGCGCCGCCTCCAGCACCTCCCTTAGGCAGTCGATATGTCAATATGAGTGAAGGTAACTCATTATCACTTTGTTTCATGCAAAAAAAAATTTGGATGTGTGTTTTTATCGCAATTTTGGATTGTTTTTGAATGGCTGCTTTGTTCTTGAATTAACTACCTCGTGAAGACTCCGAAGTTTATGCAAATTGCATTTGAAATACAATTTGCTCTTTTTCGCTTCACCGCTGTAGTATTTTCTTTTAAGAGCGGGACGTTCCTGCTGCTCCAAGCGCTCCTGATGTGGTTGGCACAGCGATAGGTGAAGTAACACTGACCTGGAGTGCTCCTCTGCAGAGGCCGGGTGACCGCAGTATATTGGGCTATCAGGTGAGAACAGATTTCTTCAGATGGCTACTGATTTCTTCTGACTAAAATGAATAACTCCGCTAAGGCATTCCTAGTTTTTAGCGATACTTTACGAGCATAGTAGAAATCTCGTGAGAAGTTCAGCAATGTAGTTCTTATATGTTTGACAATAAGCATTGTTTCCCGAAAGCAATTTGCCTTATTGGTCAAAAACAGTTCATCGAGGCTCTAATTTTTTCACTTCCATTATTTCCGCCTTTTTCGTTATTTTTTGCTCATCTTTCTGTTTTCAAGTTTACGTTTATAAATTGTATGAGGTTTTGTTTCTAGATTGAGTTGCGTGAGTTTCCCGATGGAGACTGGGAACGAGCACACGATCAGCTGTTGCGGGACACAACCTGCACAGGTACGTCTTCATCTGCCATTTTATTGATCATTAAGTGCTTATAACCTTAATATGGCGTCTGTTTTATTTTTATTTGATTTTTCGGCTTTTCTGAATTGTTTATGGCCTTCCTCCCAGGTGATGCCAAGGCTTCTTCAAATTTCATTAATTTCTTTGTTTTTACTTCCCTGTTTATTTGTTTCTTGTTTTTAATTTTTGAATTAATTCCCTTGTTTCTTGATATGTATAGCTTAAGCGGCATAATTCGAGTCTTCCTAGTAGCTGAGTTATTTAAGAAGCCCATCATAATAATTCTACAGCCGTCTAATTATCATTATATTTCAGAACTAATTATTCTTACCTATTATTTTCGTTCGATTCTATGTCACAAGACTGAACTCTGACACTTTCCACGATCTTTCGGTACTAGAGCGCAGTGCCCCGTGAGAGCAAGCACTCGTTAAATACCGCGAGCTAAGCCGACCTGTTTCGGAGTGTCTGCCTCTTGCATAAATAGGTTTCGCTTTTGCATATAATTTTGCAGTTCTGAACAGAACTTTATTTACGAAGAGGATGGCCTCTTCATGATTCTTTCCCTCATATTCCATCCTTTGTTCTGATTGCCGGGCTATAACTCATACTATATTCCACCCAGTTTATATCCACAGCATCTCACAAAAGGACGGGCCGACATTCCCTTCGCGTTCTTTGTCTGCTCTGTTCCAATGAGGCTGCGCGCTAACGTCTTCATTCCCTTCATCTTGTTGCCTTTGGATCTTCGTTCTATCGGAGAAGAGTATCTTTCCTCATCGTGACTTTTTTCTTGGCTTCTTCAAAGCTTAGTTCTTCTTCTAACGGCCTTATATTCTGTGGAATGTGTTATTCATACGCACCTTCCGCCGAGGGGCCTGATTCATCTTTCTTCTTATTCTTCTTCAGTGATTCTTTGATGATGCTATAGAGCATTGTGACATTCAGTTTCAGAGAAACGCGCCTGCTCTAGGTTTTCGCGTTACGATACCACTCGAATTAGGAGATAATTCCATCGTCCTTCCCTTTATACATCGTGCTATAATTTATTGTGGAGCATTTCCTGATTCAACGGCTGAAGTACAGCTCTGTATTTTCTAGTCATTTAGAGGTCGGGGATTGATCGCGCTTTATTTTTAGTTTTTGATCTACTTCCTGTAATGTTGTTGTTGATGTGAAGAAAGAAAAAGGTCTAGTTAGCGACAGATGGTGCAGATTTGAAACAGCTCCTTTCGGATGATTACGTGTTCCAAAAGAGCTGATGGAGTCTTCCTATTTCCATATTTCGGAGTTCGAATCAGATTTCCATTCTTATTCGCGACCATGTGAACAAAAAATATCACATGCTTGAATTGAAGATAGGAATTGAATTCCGCAAAAAAAGTCGGCTCTTCCTTTTTTGCGCGCAGCTCTTTATTAGCTTCTCGTGTGCCATAAATTGCTTCCTTCTCCAACGTGGCTGTAGCAAAAGGCTTGCAGATAAAACCGATGAGCACCAGTACTGTTGTGGTTCGCGAAACGACTCGAATAACTCGAGTTCGTAGTGTTGAGCGAAGACGGCGAAAAGAATCAACGAATGGCTCCTACATCTCAAAAGCACCTCAATTGCCAGAAGATAAACGAAGGAAGTCGAGGCTGAGAGTCCGATGGACCGACCAAGTGAACGATGTCAGCATTCGAAGAAGCTGGTCCCCAAGGAAGCTGCACAGATATGGGACGGGTAAACTAGGTGTGAAATATGTCATTACAAAATGAAACCCATAGAATTCTTAGCTGCTAGCGGTTTGGTAATTGTTTCATAAAAAGAGTGTTCCTACATTCTGTCACAGCAATCAATCATGCAATGTGTCTGACCTTTTTGCCGAGATGCAGCGTATCGATGGCTGTGTAGCAAAGTTTGCTTTTTTGCCATGTAAAAAGAGCTGGTCTCTCCTTTCATCACCTCACGCCAAGCCGATTAACGTAAGAGTTGCTTGGAATTTACAGGTTTGCAGCTTCAAGCTGCGTCTTTTTTCTATTTTTCGCTAATTTATTCGCAGCTGTGTCTTTGTACAGCTTGCTAGTGAGGTGTTCCAAGAACGCATTAATTGCAGGCATGTCCCTGTGGCCAGCATATGTTTTGAGGTTAATTATTCACAGAGAATCTTTTTCCACCTACAGTCAACCCATATATTGGGTTGGAGCATAATATCGTAGCGTTTTTTTTTCGAGCGTATAAATCCAGTCAGTACAAGTATCCTCCAAAAAACTGCTCATAGTATTTGAAAGTACTCTTCTCGCTCTACAAAACCGTGGTTGTCTTTTTCTTGAACATTGTAGTTGTACTGAGTTTTAGAGCTTAGAAGTTGGGAAATCCAGACGGCAAAAATCGGCGTTTCGACAGCTGCTATTTCTCGGTTTGAAAAAAAAAGAAGAAAAACGCCGAATTGGAAGTTCTTTCAAATCCATTCTCCTAAACAAACCTTGCTCTATCCGACCCCACCTATTACGCTTAAGTCAGAACCCTATTAATTTCGCCAATGTTCGACTCTCGATGAACCTCGGCATAGTTTCAGTACGAATTTATTTCACTTAACAGCACACGAGGTTGATAATATGATTCCGTCGGCTTACGTTTCGGCGATTTCGCCTTCTTCGGAGCCTGAAAAAGGTAATAAATCGTTACAAATTGAGAATAAGAAGGACCCCGAAAGTGAGCTCAATATTTTTTTGAAATTCTACGTCCGGTGATCTCGTGCGAAATGCAGTCGAAGTTGTAAATAATGACGAAGCGAAGACCACTGATTAGTTTTATGTTTTTATTTTTTGCTTCAAATGTTTGTGTGAAGAAATGAAAAATACAAGCGCTACGATATTATGCTCCAACCCAATATTTATTGCCGGGACTGTTTTTTTAGTTGAGACTCATTTTTCTACCTACAGCCAAGCCATATACTTGTAATGGGGCTGTTTTTGTTCTGTTCCTTATTGCGCATTCTACCAGCGCGGTTTTCTTTAGGAGCAAAGGCTAATATGTTGATGCTAGTTTACCTTTGATTGATGGTGTTTTGAAAAAGTGAGACCACCAGAGAAATTCCACTATGCTTCAAGTTGCCCATACAGTTTGTTTCTTTGTTCAAGCAGTCCGAAATTAGTTACAAAACTGGCCCATTTAGGGAAGGGATCTTTTGTGGTTCGGACAGCATAACGTCATTAACATTTTCCGTTCTATATGTAGGTACATGGGAAGGGTCCTTCCAAAAAAGCTTTGTGCCAGTTTTAATTTTGGTTGTTTTAATCTGGTTTCTTAGTTTTCTTAATTTAAAGAAAGTCATCAATTTCCTCTGGTATATTGACTGTTAAATATTAATTATTATTATTGTATTATGTCATGTTGTTATATTATCATCTATAATATTATATTTATTATATTCCACTGTTGTCAAAAAGGCTGGCAATGGTCGCAATGTTGTGAGAGGAACAATGTGAGCTCAGCTGAATCAGCGAATATAAAAATTTTTAAATGGCTACAAGGAGTAACAACTCTTTAGGACGCTATCTGCAGCGCTCTGCAACAGCTAATAATTTGTTTTTGGAATTCGCCTGTGGTGACGGCGAGCAACATCTTCCTGGAATTATAACGCCTTTTCGACAACTGCGACTTTCTAACGCTGACTGAGACTATCTGACAACGACCTATGATTCTCAATGCCGTTTGCGATGAATTGCTGGTTGGTCTCACTCGTTGCCCTGATTCTTTTCTCCGAATCAAAATACAGCCATGAATGGATCGGGTGTTAATTGAGTAGCGTCTTTGAATATGGCCCGGCCTGAAACACGTGGAGACTTGTGGTTCATCATAATCTGTTCACTGTCAGGGTTAAGCGTGCAGTACGGAATTAACCAGGAAATCTCTTCGGCTCCTTCCGAGGGGGTAGATCTTGTCGGTGGTCTCCTGAACTGACGCTTCAGCGTGCTCATTAATAAAGACGACATGTTTTCAAGGGCACCCTTGCAACCAGTGCTGTCGGCTGGGCTGCTGTTCCCAATATCGTAAACAATGCTGCGTGGAAACTTTCTGAATACTTTATATTATCAAGGCATCAATTTACCTCAAGAGCAGCTCTTAATTTTTGTAATGTTATACTGTAGCTGTTTTCAGATGTTCTCCATTAAAAGGCGTATTTTTCCTTGAAGTTGATCTTTGTATTGGCAGTTTTTTGGCCCTGTGGACTTTGGTAAGGAATGGTTGTAAATGCTAAGCAGAGGTTAAGGGCATCCGGCAAGATTGCCTTCGCTCATCTCGTTCGCCAATTAAACGGCCGAGAAATGACAAGGTTGGCAAGGTTATGTGAGTTGAAAATGCGTCCAGACATCTGCCGCTGGTTTAAATCGAACCTTCGTCTACACGCGGCCTATTAGCTCCAGCTAACTCTTCTCTTATTCGCATATCCGTGTCCTTAGGAATTTTGTGTTTCTTTTCGTTTTTACTCGAAGTTGCTCCGCTTTCAGTGTAGCTTTTGAGCTGTGAGCAAAGCCTTATCCAATCTCCTGGGTTGATTTGCATCTGCTTATTATTTTGGGTTATATTTTTATAATATTATTTCGTGTTTTTTTTACTGCAAAATACGCTTTTCCCATGTCAAATGACTTCGTTTCGCATGCACGTTTGATTTATGAGGGGTGGTTGCTTGCAAGTCTTGATCATAACAGTTTTTACAATGCGCTTGAATAGTTCCTTTGCGCGCTATCCATTCACTCATTGCTGACCACCTCACGACCAGCGCAGTTTCATGTTCTCTTGCGATTTTATATCGCTGACCTTGCGCGATGTATGTTTTGCGTTGCGTGCACCGTGGCGGTATCGCTCGTCTTTCACTGGTAAAATTCCTTACTCTGCCACCCAGTGTCCACAAGAGTTGTTATTCCTGGCGAGCAGGTCCACATTACACATTAAAGCGACGCATTCATCAATTGCTGTCTTTCTGTCTTAGCGCATTCCGACGAAAAAAACTTGGTTACAGTAGTTTTCCAAAAATTCTTTATATGAGCCTTCCACAAAACCTTTGAGCAGTGAAGGCTTGCAGGTTATATATTGTTCTAAAATACTCATGTTTCCAGTTTCATGAAAACATTTTGCCAATGGTTTTTATGCCAAATATGATAAATTAGATCATTTCCGTGTGAACCATCTTAAATTTTTAAAGGCAATATTCTTATATTTAACAAGAAGTATTCATTCTTATATGTGCTGTGTAAGTGCTCATGACATCTAATTGTAAGCCGTCTCGTTTCAGTTACTAATCTGGAGGGTTGCTCTGGTGAAGTTCAATTTCGCGTGTCAGCGGCGGGCCCTGGTGGCTTTGGACCACCATCAATGTCGTCGGTTCCTGTTTCAATACCTCATGAAGCGAGTGGACAGGATATCCACAGCAGTTCGTTATTTTCTGTCATATGTTTTCAGTCTGCTCCTCATTCTCGTTTTCTGATTTTTTCCGTCATGTGTTATGGTTTTTTGACGCCGTTAAGTTTATTTTTGAAGTATCCGCCCTATGTATTGGTTCCATGCGCGTCTGTGTACCACCGCAGGCTCGGTGTGTCAAGGGCGTCCGCGCAGCATGCCGTCCGCGTTTGCACCTCTATTCCGCTTTTAATGGCCAATATCGTAGTGTTGTCATGAACCGCTAACTGATTCCTGTCGCTGATTGAGAAATTACGTAGCAATGTGTCTCTTGAATACCCGTGATTGTTACGACTTTGAAAGAAGTGGTTATTAATATTTGAATTTTTTGAATGACCCTTGTCCAGAATTGTGCTCAACGTGCGTTCTTCCTTGATCTCCCGCTTGTGGAAATAGTTCCAGCAAAGTCGATCGGAGAATTCAGTTTTTGCTAGGTTATGTAAGGTTTGAGTGAATAAAGACCATCATAAAATAATGAAGATCGCATAATTACATCAGGGCACGAAGTTCTTCTTATGTTCCGAATCGCGCTCAATTCCAATTCGGGCTCCTCATGTCGTTGTATCCCTTACGTTTCGGCCTCTGCCTTTTGGTATCAGATTCGCCCCATTTTGGCGTCGTTATCGTTGTTCGATCGTCGGAATCTAGTTGATTTCAAGGTCTATGTGCAAGTCCAGGCGCTACTTGAGGACACATAGTGCCTTCTAATTGTTTTGCCATGTCGTTTTCTTTTATTGTGTTGCTAACTCCTGATTTATTTCGACGCTTAGTTCCAGGAGTTCCCCTACCGCCAGGCCGGCCGTCGGTAGTAGCAGTAGACGGACATCGTGCAACAATCGAGTGGGACGCCACCCGCTGTTGATCCGAAGTGTCCACCATTAGCAGGGTATCAGGTGATTGAATACTTCTATTCTTTGTGTTTTCCTCATCTTTATATGCTTTTACCCATTGTTGCTGGATGGCTATGGAGAGAATTTTAGGTTTAGTATTCGTTTGTGACTAGCAGCAATTTTTTCGGGGATAAGTCGTATATCCATTAAGAAAGTAGCGTTTAGAAGCCGGGATGCGACATTTTGCGACTACAAATACCGCACGGTTTTTTTATTTATTTTGCAAACTCATCCATTTATAACTTTTATTGCACATAGATATTTTGGCTAAATCTTGGGCACTTAGTGGTTTTGGCTTATCTCTCTGCTTAAGATGAGTACCCTTTCTTAATCATTAAGCACATTTTATTAGTACGAATACATCTCTTAAAGGTTTCGCTCCTATTTCTCTTGGTTAGCGTTTCTAAAAGGATCTCTCAAATAGACTTTAAAAGCACGCAGTCCGTTCTTGGACAGCCCAACTAGGAAGTCTAGGGTTTACATCATAAAAGCTGTGCTTAAGGTGGAATACCGAGTTTACGGCACTGTGGATTGGATGGTGGCGAACGATGCTCTAACCCCTGAGTGCACATACACTGGTTTGTCTTTGATTCTCCATTGTGATAGAATTTTATTTCTTACTTTGTTTTTCAGCATTTCAGCATAACCGCTGATATGTATTGTTTTTTGTAGTGGAGAATCTTCGACCAAATGGTGTATATGAATTTCGTGTACGTGGGCGAAACGCTGATGGGCTCGGGACACCAAGCCGGTCTTCTGGAGCTACCCACATTAAACCTGCAGCTCCTCAGCGAGGCGTTGGTTCAAGACCGGTTCTCCCTGGATTACGACCACCTGGTCAACCGCAGGTATTCTTGTGGCTATCAATTGTCATAAACTAGAACATGCTGTTGCATTATCATGTACATTTCCTGCTTTTAAGCTTGTTGAAGCTGACATGGATTGGGTCAAAATGGAGTGGGCAGCATCAGAGGATGGAGCCGGGTATATAGTGGAATTTCGCGAAGTGGGTGATCCCAATTGGTATACTGCGAACCCTCATCCGATCACGGTCAACTGTATTCATGGTGAGTGATTTTTATTGCAACTTTTCTGCATCTTTTTACTTAGTTCCTCTTTTCCACATTATCGGGTGCATTCCTGAATGACTCATGGGAAGGTCTCCGATTTGTTGCACAACTTATGCAGTCATATAAAGATGTTTGGAAATCGTATCGGTTTTATGATGTGCGAATGTATGAATGAATTTGTTTGAATGTAAAGCTGATCGGGAAGAAATTTGTATTGGGGACCTAAAACATTCTGCTAATGAGGATCGGTTCAGTTTGAAACGCTTCCGTTGCAAAATTGTTGAGATTTCGCCGAAGGGGTGATCCCAATTGGTATACGGCGAACCCTCATCCAATCACGGTCAACTGTATCCATGGTAAGTGATTTTTATTACAACCTTTTTGTATCTTTTAGCTTGATTTCTGTTTTCCACATTTTCGGGTACATTCTTAAATCATCATGAAAAGATGTTCAAAATGTTTCACAGCTTTGCAGTCATTTA